TGCATTCAACAGTTTGTAAGTAATTTCCATTATAAATTTATTATAAACATAGCCATAACTAGGGTAAAGCGAATATGCCCCCGCCATAGGCGCCAACAAGGTTTTGGAATATTATATATTCGAAATTAATAAAAATTTTTTACTTATATAGTATTTATGTCATTAGATACATTTTTACAATTCCATTTTTTAGAATAAAATTCTAAATTTTTAGTAATAAAAAAGAAGGGCGCCATTTCTTATTGGCCGTAGGCATCCAAATTCCTAGTTACGGCTCAGATTTCTAAATGTCAGACGGTTGTTTTATAAATATATTTAAATCGATGGAGATGTTACTTTAATATATATATATATATTCGGAGAATATTTTTAGTGCATGATTTTGTAATTATTCAAATTATTACTGTAAGATATATACGGGGGTGCCGAAGTAGGTATACAGTTTAGAAACTGAGAAATTAAAATGTTAGGTGTTTATTATTATTATATGTATTATGTTTTATTACTTGGTAAATATTTATATGTAATACGTATATAGAAATAAATTATTAGTCTTTCTATTTTTTCCCTGTATGTTTTTTCCTGTAAGAAACTGTATACTTCAGCATCCCCAGTTTAAACATTTGAATTTTTATATACTCTATATATATTTTTTATTTTCGTGTCTTGGTTATATAGTAGGAACAAACCCATGCGGTTTTTTTCTTACTTTTTAGAATTAGTAAGTAGTAATAGTATTAAATGTAAGATGAATTGTAATTGCCTTAGTTTTAAGCGGAATTGTGTATAAATTTTCGCGGGCAGTTAGAGCTGTAGAGCGTGGAGATACTTTTGTTTTCTGTAACGGGATGTAGCACGACATCCGTCCTCTAATTTCGAGCAATAATTATGTGCGTTATGTTATCACGTGTTATCCATCCTTTTACAATAACTTGTTTTCAAAGAAAGGAAACACGATGTGCTATATATATATCAAAAAGGAAAATTAGAACTTTAAAAACAAATAAGCAAATTTAATAAACCTAACAAAAGAAGCACGTGGTTGTTCCTTTCTGTGAAAACGATATATATAGTTATAAGTAAATTATAAATATACTTGTAATCTTTTAAAAATAGTTTACAAGAATATTTATTTTTTTTATTGATATAATTATTGTTTATTATCATGTTCATAAATTTATTAAATAAAATACATATGTAATATATTTTTTTAAACATAACATTGTTTTATAATTTATCCAAAGGCTAGTAGTGCGTGTTTCGTTTTTTAACTTCGTTATATTGTATTTTTTTGTTTTCGTTCGTTCATAATACTTAGTTTGTGTAGCGTATATCTATATAGCAGTAAGCGTTAATTCTTATAATGCGACTATTTATTACAAGATTCATAGGTCACATGACCTGATCTGTTCACGAAAGTAGATAATTTTAATCATCCCAGTAATTCGCATTTACCCCAAGTTTGCAACTATTTACGCTCTTTCTAGGCTGGTAGCCGCCCTCAGGCGTATATCAACTGAATAGCCGTTTATGGGTGAGGGGACAACGCCCTGAGGCGTAATTTAATCAACAAATTTGATTAATTCGCGTTATATTAGAGTTTTCCAGCGAAAATTAGCTCTGATTCGTTCTTCTGTACGTTTGACTTTAAGCCAGGGGTCACGTAATTTTTGTTACGGTAGACCCGTACAACTTTTCGAAACCTCACATCGACCCCCCCCCCCCCAAAAGTATGTTATAAGCAAAAAGAAGCTTTTACTATTTTGATATGTAAAAAACGTAAAATTAAAAGATAGATATGTTTATAATGTAATTGACAATTAATCGGACGGATCAGCATGATAATCCTTACCAAGATTAGCAATATTCGTTCAAAAGTTGTAAGTTTTAGTCTTTTCATAGACCAACCAATAATGTTATATCGACCCCTGGGGTTTCATATATACCACTTTGGCGACCTTAGGTTTAAGCTTGTAAGTCTAGTTACACCCCTGGGCTATAAATATTTCGGTAAATACGTTTCCCTACAGTAAATCTTTGCAGCTAACTACACAGGTGGCTGAAAACAATCAAAGGGAAAATCCTTATACAGTTTTATTGGGTATCTTCTCTCTTTGTTGACGTTACTTGTGAAAAGAAAAAAATTAGTTATAAAAAAAAGTCGTAATCAGACTTGTGAAAGAAAAAAATTACCGCGAAAACCCCGCCTCCATCCTTCGAAGTAAATTGTAAAAAATCGCGATAAATTAGCTTTTTAAATCGTTTTTTAGCTCTAAATAAGTAATTTAATGCACTTTGATATTATATAAGCAAATTCGATAATATTTAGGCGAGAAAATGTTTTTGTAGCTAACTAGCAATAAATATTCCCGGGAAGCTACACCTCCCTATAGTAAGTCATTGGAAGATGATCTTGCTGTTCAATAATTGGCTTTAAAGTCTGTTTCTACGCCTGTTACGCTCTAATTGGTAATTTACATTATGACTGATTTAACTTCAACGAATGAGGGTTTTTGTCAGAACCATCTGTTCAGGATTTTCCCGCGAAGATAAAATCCACGTGATTGAAGGCATAATGTAAACAAACGTTAAAAATTAGCTATATTCTTTATTTTAGAGCGTAATTTTTCTAGTTTTCATGTTATTTCACTCTACTTAGACAAGAAGATATTTTATCGAAAGCTTCCAGCTGAAAATTTTTTTGGGAAACTCATTACTTCCGGATATTGCGTAATCGCAGGAAAAAATTAACTAATCATTTATTATAAATAAAGCGTTGAAAAAATATGTAAAAAGTGTCAAATATTCACTCTTATAAAAGTATGTTGATAAACTTTGACCTAAGAATACCCGAGCCACTCCCCACTCCCCGCAGGGTAATTAGAGACGTAGTGTAAATAATGGCAATAACTTCTCCCCCGCTCTAGCTAGAGAGCTGCGGTTTGTTTTGTTTAAAAGAAGACAGATGTGTCTAACGAACAGATGTACAAAGTTCAGCGAATCTCTGTAAATTAATTTTTTTTTCTATTGTTCGTGAACGTCGAAATTTTAATATTATTTTAAATTTGTATTAAACTAAAAATTAAACAATCGTAAACTGCAATATGTTTTTAATCAAACACAAAAAACAGATTAAATATAGCGCGATTTTGAAGCGAAATATCTCGATTTAAAAAATTATCCANTTTAAATTAATTAAAATTATTTATAATTATTAATATTAATAAGAGATGGCGCCTAACGCTTACCTCTAGTACCAAATTGATTACGTAATTTATCTAATAAGTAGCATAAAACTAGCCCGATAGATTTTCGGCAGTCTGTTGGTTGTAGCTATAATTATATATCGGGTTGGAGATGTTTGTATATGTGGTTGACTTATTTTTACTATTATTGACTAACTACTAATATTTTTTTAGAGTAAACAAATCACAGATTTATATCCTCCTGAGTTTCTTTTCCATTATAGTAAGTAACTTTTTCTACAGTTTATCTGGTATTTTTGACCTTATCTAAAAATCTGTGTTGATTTATTATTGAAATACTTTTTATTCTAAGATTTATTTCTTATTTTTTTTACTTATTGACCAAATCATAAATATTTAATTATCCCAAAAAATAAGTGAAAGCCGTGTCGGTCATACCGCTCACTAATCGGCGCTTCAAGATAACAGTCGACCCCTCTTCTTCCGGCTTAGTAATTAGACAGTGTAAATATTGTAAATAACTTCTCCCCCGCTCATCTAAAGAGCTGAGGTTTGTTTTGGCGGGGCAAAGCCCGGCTTGTTTTGACTATGACCTTAGCAGTTGAACGTATTTAATCGCTATAAAATCGATTTTGTAATCGTTCATTTAATCTAATTAGCTTTTCAGGAAAAATAGGTTGGGGGAAATAACCGAGACCTAAGGTCACTAGAAAGATCCGATTCGAGGCTTCAATCCAATACCTTGTCACAATTATTAATAATTAATACATAATAGTAGCTAAGACAGGAACAATGAAATTTATTGTTGGAGGCGCTAAGGGACCAGTAACGCATGCTTGACATATGTCAAAATGTTTATTTTACGTAATAGTATTAAGTTAAAACCATTGTTTTTGAGACTTTTTCTGTAAGATATTTGAATTGTAGAACTTACAATTCTTAGGTAGAGGAAAAAATTTTCAATTAAAAAAACAGATATTCTCGGTTAGGCGCGCTCTGTCCACGGGCCACGTTTTCAATTTGTTTTATCTTTCTACATCGAATGTTCTGTAATTATTGGTGCAGTTAGTATTTTTTTAAATTTTTTTTCAACATATAAATAAAATATATTTTTTCAACATATTTTTTCAAAACATATAAATAAATAAAATGTAATTTGATTTATTTATATGTAAATAAGTTAATTTAATCAATAATTTCGTATAAAGCATTATTAAAATGGATATTTGCTTACTTTAAAAATCCATTAATGTTTTATTCTGTACAAAACAAACTGCACCTCTCTATGGGTGTAAAGCCTTGTTTAGTGTAGCTTTCTCTCTTCCCGACCCAACTCTAGGAAGTTGTGCGGTTCTGTCTTAGTAGGTCGAAGTTCAACTTACTTTTCTAATCCTAGTACTTACACATTTATTTTGACATCTTTTTACTATCATTGCAGTACTTTTATCATACATATAGCATCGTTATATAACTGTTCATTTAATAGGATAAAAATCGGATTTTAAAATGCTGCAGTTTTTTCCATTCGAAAGAATGTAGACATATCTATGTAGTGTAAAAAAAAAAATAATTTAATACTTAAATTTAACAATGTTTGTTTTAATTTTAGACACGTAACATTACGTACAGTATATGTAAAATAAAATTGTATTAGGTTTTATAAATTGATTTTGTTATATAATATAAACTTGTTACAGTTTAGTAATAAGTACGAACAAATTACTATACAATATCAGCATATTTTTCATGTATGAACTGTTTGTTATACTATTCGTTTTTCTTATAACAGTTACAATGGCACAAAGCAGTTCTAGCAAGAGACCTAGACGACAAGCTGCGGTAGATACCCAGCAATTACTGAAGTGGCTTGAAGAGGAAGAAGACGAACAAGAGTTAGGTGACCTGGATGAATCAGACGAAGGAGAAGTCGATGTATTAACTACAAGTGATCACGAGACGGATACAGAGCAGGAAATGGATGAGGAGGACGAAGATCAGACAGCTACAAATGCAAGGTACTATATAGGTAAAGATGGGTTCACTAAGTGGAACAAACAGCCGCCACCTAAGAGAGTTCGAACTAGATCACAGAATATAATAACACACTTACCTGGCCCAAAAAACGAGGCACGTAACTGTACGACAGAAATAGACATCTTCAATTTATTTTTCAGTATAAACATATTAAATGCAATCGTCAAATATACAAATATATATATTTCAAAAGTAAGAAATTTATATGTCCGGGACAGGGATGCAAGGGATACAAATTCCACAGAAATAAAAGCTTTTGTAGGATTATTATATTTAATTGGAACTATACGGAGCTCCACAAAAAACGCACACAAGATGTGGGACAATTCAAAGGGGAATGGCCTAGAATCATGCTACCTAAGCATGAGTGAAAAGCGATTTCGATTTTTATTAAGATGTATAAGATTTGATGACATTACTGACAGAGAAGAGAGAAGAAAAATTGATAAATTAGCTCCAATTAGAGAAATACATGAAATGTTTTTAACAAACTTTCAAAAGTATTTCACACCCAGTGAATACCTTACAGTAGACGAACAGTTATTAGCTTTTCGGGGCAAATGTTCATTTAGGCAATACATTCCGAGTAAACCGGCGAAATATGGCATTAAAATGTTTGCATTATGTGATGTGAAAACGGCTTACACTGTAAGTTTAGAACCGTATTTAGGCAAGCAGCCAGATGGGCCTTACTGTTTTAGCACTAACGCTCAAGATGTTGTGGAACGTCTAGTAACGCCTGTACAGGGAACAAACCGAAATATTACGGGGGATAATTGGTTTACTAGTGTTTCTCTAGTAAAAGCACTTAAGGCAAAGAAGCTGACATATGTAGGTACAATACGTAAAAATAGGCGGGAGGTGCCAGCAGAATTTTTATATATGCGGAATCGAGCACTACACTCTTCAATATTTGGATTTGAAAGTAATTGCACTATGGTATCCTATTGCCCTAAAAAAAACAAAGCTGTCTTGCTTATATCTTCAATGCATTTTGATGACAAAATTGATGAAAGTACAGGACAGGCACAAAAACCTGAAATTATTACATTTTACAACATGACTAAAACTGGTGTAGATGTTGTGGACCAACTTTGTGAAAGAAACAATGTGGCCAGAATTACTAGGCGATGGCCAATGGTCATGTTCTTCAACTTATTGAATATTGCAGCAATTAACACCTTTGTTATATATAAATATCACAAATTTGCAACTAATGAAACTTGTACACGTTATGATTTTCTGGAAATGCTTAGTTGGGAATTAATAAAAACGCAAATTGAACATCGAAGTAACATTGCAAGTTTACCAAAAGATCTAAGAAATAGAGCAAGTAAACTACTTAAAAAAAATACAAACGTGCAGATGGCCCCCCAGTCACCACCATCTACCAGTCAGGGTCGATGCTACATCTGTCCTAGATCGAGTGATAAAAAATCCAAACGATGGTGCAAGACTTGCAAAAAATGGATATGTTCACAACATCAGTTTGTTGTGTGTCAGTCGTGTTACGATAAATAATTAAATTAAAAATTTTCTTAATACGGTTGACCCCCCTATAACACTGATGATGATTCCGTGTTACATGAGTTTCGTGTAACACGGAATTATCATCAGTGTTATAGGGGGGTCAACCATATGATATTCTAAGTTTGGAAATACATAGCCTGGGAAAAGGTCATTCACTCTGTACGCTCACTGCATATGAAGTTTGTTGTTGCAAACTTCACATGCAATGAGCATACGGAGTGAATGACCTTTTCACAGGCTATCATCAAAAATGCATTTTTAAAATTTTTGGTCAAATCATATGCCTTGATTTTTGATTTTGTACAGCTGTTAATTGCTACTATATTCTTGTATATTATTGCATATTGTTTTTTAAATGTTTTTTTAGTATAATGTCTTTGGGAATAAGGTACCATTTTGCACCTTAATTATAAGTAATTTTTGTCTTGCTTTTTATGTGATATATTATATATTATAACTTTGGAATTTGACAGCCTGGGAAAAGGTCATTCACTCCGTATGCTCATTGCATGTGAAGTTTGCAACAACAAACGATCATATGCAGTGATCGTACAGAGTGAATGACCTTTTCCCAGGCTATCATCAAAATTTGCATTTAAAATTTTTAATGTATTTGTACTTACATTTCTACTTTGAATTGTCCCACATCTTGTTTACAAACTGGGTTAAAAATATGTACCTTGCTTTGTACATCATTGTAAAAACGTAAATGCTGAAACACAGTTCTTATGTTACAACGTCTGTATTTTTTTTAAATACAGGTGATTGATCACTTGCATGCTACTTCTGAAAGCCTGGAAAAAAATCATTTACTCTGTATGCTCATTGCATGTGAAGTTTGCAGCAACAAACTTTATATGCAGTGAGCATACAGAGTAAATGATTTTTTTCCAGGCTTTCATCGACATTTAAGTTTAAAATTTTTTATGTATTTGTATTATCTTGTTTACAAACTGGGTTAAAAATATGTACCTTGCTTTGTATATCATTGTAAAAACGTAAATGCTGAAACAGTTCTTATGTTACAACGTCTGTATTTTTTTTAAATACAGGTGATTGATCACTTGCATGCTACTTCTGATAGCCTGGTAAAAGGTCATTTACTCTGTATGCTCATTGCATGTGAAGTTTGCAGCAACAAACTTCATATGCAGTGAGCATACAGAATAATTGACTTTATTTCAGGCTTTCATCGACATTTAAGTTTAAAATTTTTTATGTATTTGTATTATCTTGTTTGTTTACAAACTGGGTGAAAACTTCTTATGTTACTGCAGCTGTATTTTTTTAAATGCAGCTGATTGATCACATGGATGCTGTGTGTGAAAGTCATGTATGATATAGTATTTTGTTTTATTTTTATAGTATTGTCCAGTTAGGACTTACCATATTCTCAGAACATCTAAGTATGATAGAACTTAGTATAATTAGCATTATAACTTAGTATAATTAGTATTAGGACTTAGTATAATTAGTATTAGGACTTAGTATAATTAGTATAATAGACTATCATACTTAGATGTCCTGAAAATAAGTCCTAACTGGACATTACTATAAATTTATTAGTATAATAAGATACTGGCTATTGATGTATTATTAATAAATGTTTTAAGTCTGTACTTTTTGATGTAGTCAGAATTGATATAAGATGTAATTTTCATTTATACGTATGTATTTTTGCACATGTCTAAGTAAACATTTAATACAATTCTATAGATTCTGTAATTAGTATATTTTGTATGTTTTCTAATTTCATGTTAACAAATAAATTTTTTGTGTTCATAATATTATGGTGTTTGTAACTTAATTTTCTCCGCAAATGACTCCCAGTAATATTTTCGAATGTAACTCGCAGGGTTTAATAGTCATCGGTCTTGATAAATTTCAACAATGCTGAACAGTGAAATGTTTCTGGTCAAATAAAAAATAAGCAAAAATATAACCGACTGTCACAAATAAACAGGAGTTGCACCTGTAAAAGTACTTTTCCTGCATAACACCGCGTTTTGATAAGAGAGTAGTACAGTATTTATGTACACAGAGCAAAAAATATAGTCGCTGTTTTGTGTTTGGTCAATTCTCGATGAAGTAATAAATACAAACGATCATTTTTAACACTTTAATATGAAACTTTTATTTTGAATATGAAACTTTTATTTAAAATTATAAATAAAATTTTAAATTTGCGTTCTATGCATTTAATTTAATCATTTGCATCTTCATAAAAATAAAATAATACCATATCAACACTTTACAAAACAATTGACATAGAAAAATTTTAAAAAATGCTTAAATCGATGTACGAAAATAATTGAATAAACAGATGAGCAAACGCAAACGTCATACAACGTCACACATTACAAATTTTCTTACTGCGCATGTGCAAACTTCAAGTCGGTCGTTATAAAAAAACTTACTCCGTTATGCGCGCGGGGTTATATTGCACCCCACTGACTTTTAATTTGCCTTTGTGCAAAAATTTTTTTTCATAGATTTTTGAAATTTTTTCGGTGCGATCTTCACACCATGGAAGGAAGGTACTGAGGGTATCATTTTTAGACACTAAAAACATTAAAAAATGCACGCGTTTAAAGACGGCGGGGGTTCTATATAACCCCGCGCGCGTAACCGAGGGTTAAATTACTTTTAAAAATTTCGAATAATTAGCTTACGAAATTATTACAAATTATTGTATTTGAATTGTGAGGCCCTGGAAGTAGCACCCCCGGAAAAAAATGAAATT